TGTGTGTGTGTGTTTTCTCCTTTGCTTCCTAACTGGTGGCTGTTGAGGGGCTGTGGGACAGCGGGACAGAGCAGCAGGGAGGCAGTGGTCCAACCTCCACTAACCTCCATCAGGCACAAAGCCAAGAGCCTGCTACTGAAACAAGCCACACACATCAACATGTATCCGCACACACACACAGAATCCACGAGTACACTTGCCGACTCACACACTATCTACTAGCAAGCCTCCTGGACAGTGACACTCAAAGTCATTGTTGGCTTGGCATTTATGTCTTGAAGTTAAATCAGTGTTCAGCACATTCATGAAGCCCAGCCGCTGAGTTCTGGGCGTCTGTATCAGTGCTCACCAGTTCTGTTGGACAGTGCATAATAGCTTTATCACTTCTGTTAAGTGTTGTAATTGTGGGTGTTAAAGCATTACAAATCGCTGTTGGCTTTAGTCAGCTGACAGAAGGATGTGTTTGCAATTACTGTACAGAAGTAGTTCCATTTCAGTACAATCACTCCATCTGTCACAGCTGATGTATATTTGAATATGAATGTCTAATCTCTGAGAAGGAAATGTCTCGGGGAGAAACTTTATGACCCCTTTGGCCAGGCCTTTAACTCACCCCAAATGAGTTTCCTTCCTCATTATCCTTTCAAACTTTTATTTTTTTCCCCCCTTTCACCCCCAAGGGTGAGTCTCGAAGAAGATGAGTAAATTAATGAAGTCATGAACTTTGGTAAGCCCTCTGTCTACCTTCGTAAAATGCTTTTTCCTTTTTCTAATAGCTATTATCTTGATCAGTGGTTCCCAACCTGAGATCCCCCACGAGTCTTGTGGTCAAAATAAATTCTAGGAAGAAAGAAAGAAAAGAGCATTTTGGTCACCCAGTTTACTTTTTGACCCTTGTGCTCCTTATTATTTCATCCATTGTGCATACTGAGCAAGCTGTAGGAACACAGGCCTCTGCGGTAGGAATATAATAATTTATTTTTTATTTTTCTCTAACTCAAAAATGTTCCCAGACACATTAATGCAGGTTTTTGTGCACTGGTCAGAGTGTGTGTGTGGGTTGAAGGACATCAGGCAGATGGCCTTTTCTTCCCATTGCTCTTGGAGAGTGGGGGTCCATGTAGGTGTGAGCAGGAATGTACAAGGACAGAGAAATCTTTTGACCATGAGAGAAGTCTCTGCTTATTAGGTCACCCATCTCTCTGTGTCTGTCTTCCCCTCCAAACCCCCTCCCTCCCTACCTCCATCTCTCTCCCTATTTTTCCTGTTTCTCTCTGCATGCCAAACTTATCTCGGCATTCTCTGCCAAACCAATCAACAGACAGGGTAAATAATGTCAACACTCAGTTACCCTTAGTGACAGCTTCAGTCTGAGACTGGAATCGAAACGGCGTAGCAAGTCTGTACTATTAAGGTAGGCACTGCACATCGTGAAAGAATTGCATTTATCTGCAGAGCTCCAGTAATGAGAGTAAATCCTAGCTATCTTATTGCTTCTCAGGGATATCTTTGCTACAGTCTTGATTCCTCCAGATTAATATCAACGTGTAGACATGGTGTAGCGGCACAGTGGCTTTGATCCTCTGAGGCTCTGTCTGCAGAGTTGAACTGTCTTTTCTCTTTTGCTCTGAAATCCAGCAAAGCTTTGTGTGCTATCTTTTATCATCTTCATCTCCTTTGATTTGAAATTCACATGTTGTCTGAGAAATGTCCTTTCTGGTTGTCTTGGCTCGAGTGGTCAAAAAAAAAAAAAAAGGAACAAGAGGCAGATATTCTGTCTGCACTGTTCACATAATTGGGCAATTTCAAAAGTGTGAAGCTATGATTTCTGTAGGAAACAGTCATGAGTAGTGCATGGAGGTAAGAGCCGTAGCCATAGCAGCAAGATGAATATTGTCTGTGTCACTTTGTGGCATGTCAGTGAAATCTCTGCTGGTTTTTCACCATCTTTGGAAAACATGCAGTACATACGCTTGACTGAGCCACGCCACATCCAATCAAGGCCGTAAATAATGCATGTTTATAGCTTGACTCATGTTTTTGAAGTTTAAGGGAGACAGACCCACCTAACGTCTTGCACTGTAGGCTGATACATGCCTGCATGATGCAGATGTGTGCCTACAAGACGGAGATAATAGAGACATTTGCATGACATGATTTTTGGAGACATCATTTCCCTATTGTGATGGATTTTAATGTGTCTTGCAGCCAAAATGAGAACAGATTTTTTTTTAAATATTTAACCAAGTTTATAAATACAAACCTCCAGGTGCAATGACATGTGGGTTTGTGTCTTTATGTGAAACCCTGCTAGTAGCTATCTGAGAAAAAAAACTGAAGAGGAAGAAGAGAGATTTGAGGTCGCCGACAGGGCTGTCTGTCACTTGAATCCCTCTTCACTTGAGAAACAAACCTCTCTCAGAGCTATCTTTCACCCTCAGGGTATTCCTTTGGCGTTAGCAGTGGTGTGGTTGATGGTTGTCATTGTTCAACTCCATTTCACATCTTGAAGAGGCAGCTTTCCAAAGCAAACAAACAATCATGCTACCATTCTGCTTTGAAACTTCATTGTGTCATGTGGAGCCTCCCCTGCCTCGTTTGCGTTCACTTCCATGTTTTATTCACCAGCACAAACTAAATCAAATGGGTTCACAGAATATAAAAGCATTTACGGTATTATTTTTAGAGGTATTTCAGGTCAAGTGAGGAAGCACTAACAGTACTCAGAGTCACACGTGACCTCTGATTACCAGAAAAGAGAAAGAGACAGGAGAGAGTGGGAGGGATGTGCAGGGTACTGCTGATTCATACAACACTCACCTACACTAACAGGAGCTGTCTGAGGAAGAAAAGGGAGGGAAGGACGAGAAGAGATAACAGGAGACAGGAGTGGGAACGAGATGGTGATGATTCATGTGAAATAGAAAAGAAAAAAAAACCCATCTGACCAATCTGAGGTGAGGTGGTCTGTAGAACAAACTAGAAAGGAATAGAGAGGAATGAATATGTGCAGAAGAGGAGGAGAGAAAAGATAAAGAACGTGGATGAGTATACTGAGTCGCTCTTTCACTGGGGAGTCATTCACTCAACAAATGTTGACACTGCAACAAAAGTTCCTTCTTCCTGATTCACTTTGGACTCAATTTGATTTAGACAAACCACCTGAGCTCTAGAGAGAAGTACTCAAAAGGAAGCAGTGAGTAGGACAGGTTAACCCTTTAATTGCTCCTTTTGGCTAATGAAGTATAATTTTTTTCAATAAAGACCAGACTGTTCTTTAATATGAGTCTCTACCAAACGGTTAAGATGTTCTTTCATGGTAAAAGCACATCTCCACTCACATGTAGCAAAGGCTGCTTGCTAAAATTGAACCGGCGACAGTGTGATTACATGGCGTGGCCTGCGACCATTCTGCTACCCATGTGCTTCAGGCCTAACAGAGTCCTAGAGATGACTCAAGCAGGCAGAGTAAACTCATTCATCCACAAAATAAGGTATCCAAAGAGAATGAAATGGCTGAGGGATTGTTTGTATAGTCTAGTGAGTGTATTCATGTGTGTGTTGCCGTAGATGGATGTCTGACTGAAAGATTAGAGGTTGAGACCTTCAGCAGCGAAGAATCGGATTGACCAGTTTAAAAAAAAACGATGTGATAAGAGCCTTCTCACCAAACACAAGGGAAGCTTCTGGTTATGACGGGTGTGTGTGTGTGTTTTAAGGCTGATGGTGTTAGCTGAGAAGCCCAGCTGCTGCTGAGGGAAAGCTTGTGAAATGAACAGACAAGACAAGAAGCCTCTGACAGCACAGTGACCACACACAAGATTTATTATGACCTATGAACCTGGAAAAGCTTCTTCTGTCCTGAATACCACTTACTGTGGTGTGTGTGTGTGTGTGTGTGTGTGTGATAGTGCTTGTGCGTGTGTGTGCATTGGTTGCTTTCTTGATATTTTTTCTTCATCAAGGGGATTGCACCTCTTCAAGTCTAGCCTCACATGCCCTCTCACTCTGAAAGTCTGTGAGAAAAGGAGGCTTTTTGTCTGTGTTTCCTTCAGTTTAATGGAATGGAATAATGGGATAAAACTGCTGCTGTCTCATGATTCAAGTTTTCTATTCTACACACTGGACAAAGTTATTCAATTTGATTCTTATTTGTTGATAGAGTTTTTTGTGTGTGGCACCTCACATTTTTCTTTTTTTTTCTTTTTTCATTTTCATTATCCGTATTTGCACTGTGCTTTCTTTCACGAGGTATATTGATACAGGTATCAGTTTGTTTAGCTGATTTTGTCCTGTTAAATCGGCATGTAGATCCTGCCATAAACAGTCATACATTTTCTTGACAGATTATTCATGTTAAGGATTAATGTGTATCCTCTTTAATGGATCAGGTCTAGCCTTAAAGTCCATGTGAAATGAAAGATTTAATTTGAACCCCTGTTAGTGTGCAACTGAACGCAACCTCTGAGACAGACAGAGGCCAGTTTGACAACAGTGATACCGAAGTGATTTACAGAGTTTCCAGATGGACTTGTTGGTAAAGGTAGTCAACTATCGTTGATGTTAGGAGCCGTAAGCTAGCTAGCTCATGCAGCTAACGTTAGATTTCTGTTTCATGTGGACTTTAAACCTAACCTGGTTGTACACACAGATGTATTATCACCTTTCAGGTTGATATTGCCAACGTATTGGCAAAAGTTGGTTATTTTCAAATCCAGCAGTGATGGACCAACATTATCATTAACTTGAAATTACGTTTCTGGCTAACTCATGAATGTAGGTCGGTGGTTCAGTTGCTACAAATGACCCCACTGCTATATTGATTATAGCAGCTTCAAAGGAATCAGTGAACCTTTTGAAAACAGTTCAGAGAAAACCAGCACGAGACTCCAGGAAGTTACTGGTCCAAGCCAAGAAATAGAAAAATGTAAAAAATCAGCCTTCATCCCAAACCCGTTGACTGTAATACTCACCTGGGTGTTTCCTTCTTTCTTTCTTGTCCCTCAGCTGCGGGGCGGCCCTCGTGGCCGGGATGCCACTGTGTGCCGTGCCAGTCCACAGTGGACGGTGAGGGGCAGGAGGAGGGGACCGAGTGCAGGAGACTGAGAGGAGGTGGCTCGCACCAAACAGGAGACATGAATCTCTGCTGGAACGAGATCAAGCGCAAGTCCCACAACATCCGGTAAGAGGAGTGGTGTTTACTGGAACAGTCTGGAGGGATGGAGCCAAGATGCTTATGTGAGAGAGCGTTTGGAAACTTCAGTACAGATCGTCCGTTTTATGGCAACAATAGCTGTAAACTGCAGATTGCATTTCTACCTACGGGTTGGCTGTCTCAAAAGAAACAGAAATGTGAATTTCTTTCATGAATTTGCCAGGCTATAGAGGGTTTTTCCAAGAAAACATTTGCTCGGTTTCAGCTTGTTAGCTAGCAGATAGCCATCACTCTCACATTCTGGTTTACTGAGATTCAATTGCGTCTACTGAGCGGTTTATTGAACATGTCTTAAGCCACAACTCCAAGTATTTCTGTGCAGGGAAAGATAAGAACACAAAACCAAATGACAAAAAAACTTCCTGTGTCGCAGCTGACCAAATCTGGAAACAAATTCATCATTATAGCCCAGCTGCTGTTAATAAGCCATTGTTTGCACACATAAACAGTTGGTATAGAGATGTGTAATGGAACTTAGCCTGATAGTTTCTGACTGAGTTATCATTTTATACAGACTCTTAATTGTCAGGAAATTAGTGATTTTTCTAATTTAATAATAATAAGTGAGAATAGCACTTTTAATTACTTTTGTGGTTGTATCTGCGGGGATCATAGTACTAATATGTTTAAGTTTATGCCCATCCAGTCACATAGGGGTGTTGAGCCTAAGACAGTATATATATATATATATACTGTCCCTTTCTTTGTTTGCTTTCCATTTTACTCCATTTGCTGCCATTCATGGTCAGCTTTTAGGCAATTAAAAAAATATCGTCTTATAATGTGCTGTCACACAATAATGCATATTTCAGTACTCCTTCCAGTCAGCAGATTAATTATTGATAGCACATGGGTTAATACTGCCATTGCACAAGTTACACTTGAGAGGTTTTCCAGTGCAGAACAATTAGAAGGCGCTCACATTGTTATTTGATGCTTAATTGGAAACTGTCCAGGCTTGCTTCATCATTTCTGTTTTTTCAATTCAACTGGCATCCTGTTTAGACAATTGGCCCCTTAATTGCTTACTTGACCCTGATGTATCTAGGAAGCGGGAGGGGGAGGTTAAGGAGGGATAGTTGTGAAATTGGTTAAGACAGTTTCCCCTGCAGTCCTGTATAATGAGATCACTATGGATGGCCTGCAGTGGCTGTTTATACCCGAGCTGCACTCTGACTCCATCAGGCTGAGAGAGGGGGGGTTGATGGAGAGAGAGAGAGAGAGAGAGAGAGAAAACAGACAACTGGTATTAAATCATCACAGAAGAGAGATGCGATGCAGGGAAATGGGAGGGGCAGAGAGAAAGAACAATATAAGAATGAATGAATGAGAAAGAGCTTGACTGAGAAGCTGTCTAACCTTGAGGGTGAGTGCTGTCCAGAAGAAACATCTGACTGCGTTTAATGCCAGCGGCTGGACAAGTGCAGACAACTGGCTATATAATGGCCTGTCTGGCACTGATTGACAGGTAGCTGAGGCTTTGTTCCAATAAAAGTCATGGCTGTTTCTTTTTATCCTTTAAACTATCATACATTATACCTTATAGCAGTGGCTCTCAACCTCTTTGGTGTCCAGGACCCCCAAATTGATGCACATCAGCCAGCAGACTTGTATTCGATAAGATGATAAAATTTTGTTATTCCATAACTGTCTGTACTATAAATTGACAGGTTAACAGGGAAGAGTGTGAAACCTATGAACAGAATACTCATTCTTATACATTCTCACACAGGGGTAACTTCTGGTCAGTGAAATAATAGTGAAATCTATCATTTTTCTACTCCCTGGAATCCCCCTCAAGGAGAGTCCACTGCATTATTGTATACTGTACCATGTCTGGAATCTTACCTTAACAAGGCTAAGAGTCTACATAACAATGGCTAACGACTCTGTGAGACTACTGACAAAGCTAAAATGCTAATATTAAAGGACCAGTGTGTAGGTTTTGGGTTGAGGCTGCAGATTGTAACTAGCTGAAAAATGCTCACCTTCCCAGTGTGTAGGAGAAACTATGGTGGCCGGGAAACTCGCGGAAAACATGAAAGGCCCTATCTAGAGCCAGTGTTTGGTTTGTCCTTGAGCTACTGTAGAAACATAACGGTTTGACATGGTGGACTTGCTCCCTTTGTAGATGAAAACGACTCATTCTAAGGTTACGAAAGCGCAACGATTCTTATTTTCTAGATTTTTATTTATAGATCCTCCTAAATGTTAAACACTGGACCTTCAAACAGGTATAATGTTTACTATGCCCACCATCTTCATTTAGTGTGTTAACATGCTAAAATTTGGTAATTAGTGCTGAATAATGTTTTTAGTTTTGCAGGTATTTTACCTGATGGTGGTGCTAGATGAAAAGTCAGGGGACGTCCAAACTGATGACAATTAATTGTGAGTGGAACATGAATTGGGGATTTATCATCTGGAAACCATGAATGTTTTTTACCAAATTTTATGTAAATACGATATTTCACTGGATAAGTGAAAACTTTGACCTGCTGGTGGTTCTGGAGGAAAAACAGGGGATTACCAAAGTCAGGAGGATTCATCATTTGGGGATCATGAATGTCAAAACCAATTAATCAAATATTTGTTGAGATATTTCCGTCTGGACCAAAGTGACTGACGGACACTAGCATTGCTGAAGAATAAACAGTTCATAAGTTCATAAATGTGACGAAGTACCTGTACACTCTCATTTCTGAAAACACCCAGAGAATATAACAAATTAAGATAAGAAGTAAATAGCGCACAAAAGGCATTCTCTAAATGTTTACAGATGGCACAGAGAATTTATCAGTGTGACACAGTGTAGCTCAGCTAATTGGACTCAGCCCTGATAACAGAAGGTTAGGGGTTTGATCACTTTTTTGGCATGTTGTGTGGATAGAAGAGCAGAGCCAGTCCACGCACACTCACCAGCTGCATAGCATGCGTTATTGAGTACAAAACAGTGCTTTGATGCCATTGGCAAAAAATGTAGACATGCTGTTCTTGTCGCTGTGTGCTTTGCGTTACATCAAGTTGTGGTTTAATGTCTTATGCAGGATTGAGATAATAGCACCAGACAAGTGGACCACAACACGGTACTGCGCTGCCTATATCATAATCACCGCTGAATGATTATGAATATATATAAAAGAGACATTTATTACCCCAAGCATATTGCTGAGGCCATTCAGCCATCTGTAACTATTGTGTAAGAAAATATACTATGAGAGTGTGGAAGGTTTCAGTGAATTTACTGTGCCATTTACTTGTTAGAGACCGTGTGCTAGAAAGTTATTTTTTGTGTAATTCACTCACTGGACAATCAGGGAATTATCTTGCATTCCTTCTTTATTGACATGACAACTTCCTCCAGTCTTTTTTGTTCAGATTTGAGAGTAATATCGACCTTCTCACTTAACTCTCAGCAAGAAAAACTATAAGCATTCATAGTCAGGTCAACAAAATAGGCTGTACACTCAGTGAATATTAGTTTTAATGGTTTGATCAAAGTGTATTTCCACTGAGACAAGCTGTACTGCATTCTATTCTTGCACTTGCATACTATGGCAGTCAAACCCACCACAGCTTGGTGCTGAATCATCACAAATCTCCCACAGTGTAGTGTTAACACAGAAGACCAGATATGCCTGCAGTCATCAGTCACAGTTATAGGTATGAGTTCTTCAAATAAATTTAACTTAGCTGATTACAGTGTCAACCATATTGGGAACAATATGAGGCATTGTTGAGACTCGGGCTGTGCCGCATAGTAAGGTGCCCACTGTTTTGCACTGCAGGGAATGCCCACCGGGGTTGGTGTGGGTGTCTTGGTGGCATGTTATGAATTTATTTGCCGCATGGCTCAGATAACTGCAGAGAGGAGGCCGCCCACGCTCAACGTCTGTCTGAGGGCAAAGGGAGACCTCTGAGTCTGTTTTTGTCTGTCTGTTTTTGTCATTACCACAATGTTCCTATTCACCACTATAGTTATATGTTGATACCATTATCAAGTCTCTTTTATTCCCATTCACTTTCCCATTCAGTCTCTGCTCTTCTTCTCTGGTCTTGCTATTTCTCTCTTGCACGTCTCCCTCCTTCACCCATGTTCTTCTCCACACCCTCCTTCCCCTGCTAGCGCCTCCTACAGACAGTCCAGGCACAGTGCAATGCCCTTTGGTTGTTCTGTGCTCTACTTTCCCTACCTAACCCTCTGGTAATTTACAGTACATTGCCTGCAGGACTTATTGAGCTCCAATTACATGTTAATGATAATTCTATTGTTCAAGGTCAAGGGGGAAGACCTGGTGCTGCTAGAGGGATTAGCCACGGGATGGCAGGTGTGTGGGACTCTGTTGGGGGATTCAGCCATCAGTCATTTAGTCGCTTGAAGGAGTGGATTTTACTTTCACTGCCGCCTGAGAATCATTTTGAGTGATTTTTTTTTTTTTCAGAAAAAGGCATCATTTTTCTAGGATTCTATGTATATATTTGCTCCCAGTGTTACTCCTTATACTGAAGGATGTGGTTTGAGCTGCTAGGCCAAATCTTGCAAATGTGACCCGCATTTCAGGTCTTTTATTTACCTGATTTTCCATTTGTAAGCAAGTCACATTTATGATGTCTTAATCAGTTAATTCAGCCATGCAGTCATTAATTCAGGCCTCATGCGAAGCCCATTCTCTTTTCCTTAAGAGACTGTCATTGACGTCATATGTGTCAAACTGGGTAAAGGCTGGTAAACCAGGGAATGAAGATTTGATGAAGAAGGAATCACAGCTTCGAGACTTGTGGGACAGACGCCACGTCTGGTGGCAGGGCTGACGAAAACACATTTTGATACACTGTAATGATAAAAGAAACCAATGGGGAATCAGGAGCCCCATGAATAATTTGATGAATTACCATGTTGTGTGTGTGTACGTGTGTGTGTGTGCATAGAGTTTGAAATTAAACAAGAGTGAAACTTTGAAGGACAG